CCTATGGATGATGTAGCAGAGCATTATGCTGCTCCCCTATGGATGATTTATCAGCAAAGCTATCCAAGCCGTGTACTTGCGTGCTGTTGTGGGGAAGATACCTGCTTATCCTTCTGGTGGAAGCCAGATATTGGTGTATAAAGGGAAAAACCAAAATAATCCAGAAACCCTTCTTCTGGAGTGAGGAGTTGAGAAAAACCAGGGAGAATATCTAGGATTAGCACTTGCTTTTTCACTCTTGCCCTTGAGGTCCCTCCATTCCAGCATGGCTGCTGTGGGGACCTGCCTCCTCTCCATAGATTCCTCCTGAATGTGAAGGTACAGCCCTGGCCTGGAAAGTTGTTTAGTGAGGAAACGCCCTTTGGGAGCACTAATGTGCTTGAGGGCCTCCCAGGGCCTTTTCCGAGAGATACTCTGTTACTCAAGGAAAAAAGTCCAACTCTTCCAGAAGAAAAGATCAGATGACCTACAAGGAAACAAGAACGAGACTGGGCACCAGATGACGATGGCGAGAGGACTCCGAACCTGGCACACTACGTCCAGCTGAAGCATCCTTTACATGTGAGGGCATACATGGCCTTCGGAGCTTGTTTGCAAGTACCTTGTGGAACTAGACAAAATCAACGTACAGAGAACAAAGGACAATTGAAAGAAAGATTGAGACCCCTTAGAGGAGTGAGTGTGTGGGTTCACACCAGGGCTGCTGACCTTGAATTGGATGAATTGGCTCGCAGGAGGGGAGATTCTTGGCACAAAGGAGACAGACAGTCCAGAATAAACCATGCAAAAGTGTGTTCCCTACAGAGGACTCTCTGTTGTCATGTGAGACCCCCTCTTACCATCCACGTGAAGACTAAGGACAGAAGGCAGGATGGGGGTGGGCCGCATGGAGAGTCCAGGAGAAAAACCACAAGACAAAGGTTCCTGCCAGATTCTACCATTGGGCCAGGCTCCATAATTTTCAAAGGCAACCAAACTGACAAACAGAGATGGACAGACGGCATGGGTGTGCCATGAACCGAAGGTCATGAGTAGTTTTGTGTCTGAGGTTTTAAGGGATTCTTTTTCTTGTGATATCACTGCAGGGTGACAGTGGCCCTAAGGACACTTTTATTTCTTTTTGAGATGGAACCCAAGAGACTGAACCCACAGAGAAAACAGACTGTTGTAGGCTTTATGAAAAGTACTCACAGGGGCCAACATAACACAGACTGTCAGTGAGCCTGTTTTATCCAAAAAGCAAGACAAACTGGCGAGGAGTGCACACTGCAGCATGCACAACCACTCTGCCCGTGTGCATGGGATCAAAAGCGGGGGACACTGAATTCAGGGATCAGTGGGCCCTCTGTGATCGATGCCTTCTGGCATCGTAACGCCCTGAATATGAACAGGTGTCCTTCCAGGGCAGTTTTCCAGGTGAGGTCACCTTGGGGCTTACACTTCCATCATATACTCTGATCTTCTGTGGGGCTAGGTGAACACAGTCTAAGTCTCTAGTGGGACTCAGAAGGAAGAAAGCCCTCTGGGCCCTAGGAAAGTCTAACCCATTATCCCTAGAGGGATTAGATGGTGAAGGACAGAGCAAGAATCCGACAGTCGAAGGAGCATCTGTTTGTGCTGCTAGCTGCTTACCCAGAGGTGCTGAAGACACACCTGGTACTCTGTGAGGACAGGACAGAACAGTCCAGGCTACAAGTAGCTCTACATGTTGCCAAGCCTGGGGTGGCATTCCTCAAGCCAGGGCTTACTCAGTGACCACTCTTCACTGATTTTCACCTGACTTGGTATCTTTTCTATGAAGAAGTGAGCTGGGTGGCCTGAAGTGGGTCCTCAGGGTGGGAGAGGGGCATGGTGTGGGAGAGGATTACTGGAAATAAGGAGGATGGACCAGTCTTTCTAAGACAGATCCTGGGTATGTCCTGTTCTCGGGCCTCTCGCTCATGAAGTTGGGGATTGTGTCCTAGCTGGTGTGCCAGCTGCCCCGTGGGCAGACCCTATGTGCCTCCCAGCTTCCCACTGTGGTGCTTCTCACTGTGGTAGCTATGAAGAACAACCAGCCCCCTTCCCTTCCACACACATGACTTACTTTCTGTGTCCTTGCTGCTGTTCTTGGGTAGCTGGAGGGCCAGATGGACCTGCTCAGGAGCCTCTGTGTTCTTGAGCGGCATCGGAGTGGTGGGTTCTAGGAGAAGCTAAGGATGACCACATGGCCCTTGCTTCCTGCCCTGGTCCACCCACTGATCTCACACACTGGCAAAGCTCACTGTGACCCCAGCACTGTACCCCAGTGTAGGCTGAGCCTCACGCTCCTTGCCCCTCTGAAAGCCATGTTTTCTACTTTCCTGAAGCTGCTTCCTAAGGAATCTCATTGTTGTCCAGGTGATGTCTGGGCCTCTCTCTCCTACCCACGGTCAGGTTCTCCTTTTCTTTCCCCTCAGCCATGCTCTCTGAGGAGTGAGGAAGGGGGTTTCTCTTTCTTATCAGCATCTTCAGCTATCTGGGTTCTTGGCCTCAGCTGCAAGCCATCCCTACAGAACTTACCTCTGCTCCTAGGCATTTTCTCCTGGCCTGTGTGCAAGCCTGGTGGTCCCTATCTTGGTGCTCTGTATCTCAGCATGCCCACCTGCAAGTGTCCCTTCTCTCCCATCTAGACTTGTTGTCCGCTCTTGTCACTGCCTGTCCACTCCCTTACTCATGTCCTCGGCTCTCTGCCCTTGAGCACCACTGTCGTCACATAGAGCTGGGGAAACCCCATGTGGTTAGGGGCCTGGCCTCTCCCAGGCAGACTCAGGAACTGCCCTTTACCTGGTAAGTGGATGGCAGGAGCCTTTCCTGCTACCCTAGAAGTCTAAAACCTCACACACGGCCAGGATTGAGGTTGCTAGTAGAGCCAGGAATGACTGGCCAGTGAAGTCTTTAAACCCAGATTTTAAGGATCTCAACATATTTTATGCCAGGGGCAAAGAGTAGTGAGGCCACTAGGGTTGCTACCAGGTTGGTGCCAGGAAGTTTGCAATACGCACGTGATCTCACAGTTACTGCTCTGCTGGGCAAGCCACCAAACCTGGCACTCACTCTTCGTCTTCCATCCACAAGCTCTGAGAACCTGCAGACAGGGCAGGCGGGTCATGGGTTGAGTGCAGACTAGGAACCCAGGGCTGGGGCTAGGGTGTGTACCTGGGTGGCTGAGTTGGTATTTCAGGGGCACTGTGGTCATTGAGCAGGCGCAGCTCTGGCAGGCGCACAGGGGCTGGTCTATTTCTGAGCATCCGTGAGTGGTGTCCTCCCTGGTACCAGCGTCTGTCAGTGCCATCCCTGGGGGCTGCCAAAAGAAAGGAGAAAGGGGAGTAGTAATCAACTAGGTTGCCTAGTGTTCCTGTCTCTGCCCTCACTGCAGAAGTGCAGCTCACACCCAGCCCTGCTTAGGCATGGGCAGAGAGGGCCGCACATTGCCTAAGAAGCCTGTGCCACCTGCTATACTTTTCTAAGGAGAGGCCATGCATTATGCTGCAACAGACGACACTAGCCTGGAAGGCCAGCTCCCCCACACTCCCCAGCAGAGTCCTGACTTGGCTAAGTGGAGGCTAGACTGCAGATCACAGCCCTGTGGGTCAAGTGTTCCTGATGGGCAGCTTTCCTACAGCCAGGCCCTTGCCACCCTTTGTGTTCCTTCAGCCTCTCAAGCTAGGTGTCTTCCTTCTCTATCTGCCTCGTCCTGACTGACAGCCTCATAGGGAGACCCCACCTGTCTTTTTACCTGGCAGGTATGCCTGGAGCCCAGCTGGTAGAATGGCAGGGTTGGGTCTGAGAATTAGCACAGCATATAAACACTGCCTTTACTGTCATGTCCACAAAGCAGCCTCGTGGGCTGGGATGAGAAAGGAGGAGGGGCCCAGGAAGGCTGGGATTGGAGCCCCACTCTCTTGGAGAGCACTGGCCCTGCTCTGAGAACCTGCTGTCTTGTCTGTTCTTGTGCACCTTCTGCTTGTCTTCTCACTGAGTTCTGCTCCCTGCACTCCTGAAACTATTCTCATGGCACCTCTTGTAAGGTTTGAGACTGGCATGTAGGACACTTTTGGGTTTCAGTAGAATGCCCTGTCACCCTTGAGAATAGACTGAGGTTGTTAATGTGGCCATCTGAATGTCCTTCTCTGTCCAGGTGTTCCTTCCTGTCCTTCCCAGCCACTTGTCTCTTGCCCTCCTCTCTGGTGCCCATGCCCTGTGGCTCCTTTTGGGTCAGGCCTGGGCCTCTGTATTGCTGCCTGCTTGGTAGCTCTTTCATGATGAAGTCCTGCATTTTCTGCTAAGCCTGCTGGGATTGGACTGGTAAAACAGAATATGATGAGGCTCTTGCTGTCAACTGTCCTTCCTTACCCATATGCCCTATGCCTAGGTCTGTGTTCCCAGGAATGGCCCATGCAAGTTTTCTATGCTGCCTCCTCTGGGCAAGGATATCACACACCCCAAGAGCAACAAGCAGCCCAACTGTTTGGTTTGAACAACTCCCCAGTCCCCTCCTGTCGTGGCACTCACAGGTGATGATGTAGAGATGTGCAGGCTCGCTGTGCAGCTGGCCCTGCTCTGTGCCCTGCACAGCTGTAACTGAGAGCTGGTACCGCCGACCTGGCATCAGGTCACGCACTGTATAGGACACCAGCTTCCCATTGGGGATGTAGCGGCTCTTGGTACTCTGACTGGTGGTCACATTGATGACGTAAGCCTCCAGTGAGATACCTGGGCTGGGGGTGTCCCAGACCATATGGGCAGAGGTAGCTGTGACCCGAGAGGCAGTCAGATTTGCTGGAGGCAAAGGCCCTGGATGAGGAATGGACAGAAGGAGGGGTTAGAGGTCAAAGGGCATCTGGAAAAACATCACCTAAGGTCTTTGAGGGATCTGGAGCTGCGTCTGAAGCCAGCCTTGGTTACTGCTGACGCTGTCACCCTGTCATCTGGGGGGTGGCACGGGGATCCTGTATGAAGAAGCTAGGTCATGCATCCAGCACGCCTCCCCAAGTCTCTGAGGGTCACAGTCCTGAGTCTGGGAGGCATGGAGTTGTACCTACTAGTCATCCTTGCTTCATGAGATCCCTCCGCTCTTACATTCCCTTCTCACAGTTCATACAGCAGAATGAGCACATGGACCAGCAACACCAAGAACGTATTAATAAAAATGGAGCCAGAGTGGGCTGGTCACATGACCCCAAAGCCCTGAGTGACAGCATCCCGGCTTGCTCCTTGAACTCTGATGTACTCATTGGAAGGCACACTGAGGGGCGCCTTGCTGTATTCAGGTGCTGGGGCAGCCTTGAACAGTGTCTCTGGCAGAAGGCTTCTCCTGCCCATCCAAGTGAAGAGATATCAAGGAGGTCAAGGTCTGAGTTTACAGTGGAAGGACACTCTTGGCAGGACAGGATGCTAGGAGGGAAGCCCTGGGTCTAGAGGGTACCATATGTGAGAGTTCAGAAGGCAGAAACTGCCTGTCTGCTTACTGGTCCACACGTTCAGAGGAGCTGAGGCCAGGCTCTCAGTAGGATATTCAGCTCCTCTAGGCCCACTGAGGGTGGTTAGCCGCACACTGTATCTTCTCCCTGGCATCAGGTCCCTGTCAGAATCGGACAAGGAGGAGAGGAGCATCTAGGCGTTAGCTCTAAATAACCAGGAGTCATATTTTGCTAATAGTGGTCCTGGCTGCCTCCGTGAGGGGCAGATCAGGCCCCAGCCCCCTCAGGTGAAGGATAACAGGTACACAAAGAACACTGTGGGCCCCCGCGTTCCCAAGGCATCTCTTACCCAAATGTGAGGTGGTCCACACTCCTGTCCACCTCAGTGGACTGGACCACAGAGGCCTCAGGGTAGAGGATGGACACTCGGACCCTGCTGACAGTGGCATGCTGGATCCTGTGAAGAGCCCACTGCACTGAGATGGCATTGGCTGAAATGTTGGTGACCTCGAAGTCTTCAATGGGGCGGGGTCCTGCAGGGAGATGAGCTGCTCAGCTACTCACCTGCTCCTCTCTGCCCAGTCCTTCCTCTCTGATCCACCCTTCTGGTTATTGCTTCCTTCCCTGTAGGAAAGACAGCCTCCACACAGAGCTGTCTGCTGAACTGTGGGTAGGGAACAGCATCCTCTCCTGGGCAGCAGTGGCCAGGCCACCTTCAGAAACTCACGGGTGCGGGTGAGCAGTGCTGCAGGCCTGCTGATGTCGTTTTTGTTGTTTGTGTTTCTCTTGACTGAGAAAACCGAGATGTTGTAGGCACGGCCAGCTGCTAGGGCCCGGAGCTGGTGAGAGGAGCGACTCCGGTCCACAAAGTCTGTGCGCCGGGAAGATCCGTCCGAGGAGGCATAAGTGACTGCATAGCCATCCAGCACCTGTCTGGCCGTGGCGCCCTCAGGTGGGCTCCAGGAGATGGAGACGCCACTCTCCTCCACCCTTTCTACCCTGAGGGCTGTTGGTGGGAGGAGCTCTTCAGGGTTGCACCAAACACAAAGGAGGCGGAGGGGTTAGCCTTTAAGCACGGAAGCAGCTCCCAGTCAAGTCACCTAGACTGGCCCTGGGGCCTGGTCACCCAGGTCGTTCCTAGCAGGGAGCTTTCTCAGTTGGGCTGCTGCGGCCCTTTGGAGGTTTGCATTTCTACATAGGTGGCTGTTGGTGCCCCCTCCCTGCTCTGAAGGGGACATAGGTCAGCAGCTGTCTGCCCATCTTTCCCGCTTGGCCCCTGGCCTACCTTCTGGCCCCCTTGTTCCTCCATCCTCCTTCCCGGAGCTCCTGGCCCTCACCTTTGGTGCAGTCCTTGCCTGTGTAGCCCACTTTGCAGGTACAGCTGTGGGACCCGTTGCTGGCCAAGCAGTAGCCGCGGCCCCCACAGGGGCTAGAGAAGCAGGGGTCACTCACTGAGGGGGGAAATGACAGTGAGGGGGGGAGTTGGGGTTTTCTTGTACTTCGGCTTCTTGCTGTATAGGTGGCATGGGTGGGCGAGGGGTGGGGTAGTGTCATGGCATCTGTTGTCTCTCTCTGCCTTTCAAGCTCAGTGCTGCCTGCCAGGCACTGTATGGCCAAAACAAGCATGGCTCTAGGCTGGTGCTCCAACCTAGAGAGAGACTAGAGAGACTGTTCTAGAGGGAGACTAGAACGCTGACCAGGAGCTCTCTGGTGTTAGGGCATTATGGGCAAGGATAAACTGCTGTGGATGCCTGTGTTCTGAAAGGCCTGGTCGAGGGACCTATCATGTGCTAATAGGGAAAAGGTTCTCCATGGAAAGGACAGTGAGCGTGCGGGGCTCTGGGGATGCAAGTCAGCCTGTCCAGGAACAACAGAGCCAGTTAAGGTGGGTGTCAGGCTACAGACAGAGCATATGTCCCTGGAAGTGGACGTGGAGGAAGATGAAGGAAGCAAACAGGGTGCCAAGGAGACCAGACAACCAAGGAAGGCCCTCTGTGACATCCTACCTGTCTCACAGTTGTAGCCAAAGAAGCCCTCTGGACACACACACAGGTAGGCCCCACCACCGTCCTCACACCGGCCTCCGTGCTGGCAGGGGCTGGAGGCACAGGCATCCACCTCTGGAGAACACCCAAAGGGTTGGCCCGAGCTGCAGGGAGGGACTCTGGGGGAGGGAGGAGAGGACAGCGGGAAGAAGGGATAGGGGGAGGCAAGGAGCAATGGCCAGGAGAGGGATATGGCACACCTGTGGGTAGGAGGGGCTCTCAGGGACCCCCCCCCACCCAGTTTCCTTCCTCCCTCAAGGTCACCACAGCCTTGGGGGTTTCTCTCTGGGTGGCTTGTCCAGCAAGAGGATGGCTCCTGGCTGCCCCTGACCTCCCAGGATCCCTGGTTCTGTGGGACCCACCTGAAAGAACCCTACCTGTTTCACAGTGGATTCCAACAAAACCTTCAGGGCACTGGCAGATGAAAGCCCTGGGGAGGTCCCTGCAGGAGCCTCCATTTCTGCAGGGCTGTGCTTGGCACTCGTCTGTCTCTGCACAGACAGGGGAGGGCACTGACTCATATTGGAACCTCCTGCATGTCCCCCAGGATTCTATTTGCTCCCTAATGATGAGCAAGGCCCTGAGGCCTCAGTGCCTGGGCCCTCTACTCTGGACCACAGCCTCTCTCTTATCACATCCTCTTGCTCCTCCTTGGTTGGTTTGCTGCCCATTTCCAGCACCTAACATCCTCACCGCTGCTTCTGTGCATGCTCCATGCTCCCCGGCATCACAACTGGAAACAGCCTCTATGCTCTGCCCTTGCAGAAGCCAGTCTTTGTTTCGGAGCTTCAAGCCCCATACAGGCACAAGGGATGCAGGTCTCACCCTGCCACAGACTGGCAGGCCTCTGCTCCCTCCAGTAATGGCAGTGCCAGGTGTCAAGGGCTGCGAGCTGTCCATATTCTCTGCCCCACCCCCCAGGCCTGACTCTGATGGTAGGCCAATGATTTTCAGATGAGCTCTCAGTCTCCAGGGTAAGAGGGGACAGAGAGCTTTTAAAATCTATTCTGGCCAGCAGAGTAACCCCAAGAGAACAAGCAGTGACTGAGATAGCTATTTAGAGTTCTGTCCAGAGCAAGGATACTGTGACAAGGCGGCCATGGCTGGGGAACCCCAATGCCCTCAGCAGACCTCTTACCTAGCTCACAGTGGACTCCTTCATACCCTGGGCTGCAGAGGCACTGGTAACCAGCAATGAGGTCCTGGCAGGAGCCTCCATGAAGGCATGGCTGAGACCGGCACTCATCTACTTCTAAGGACAGACCCCAAGAACAAAACGAGGTGGCTATTATTAATCTAGATGAAGATGGAAAGGAAGTAGCTGCAGGGCTTTGGGCAAGCTTGCAGTGTGCCTTGATACAGAAGCCAGACCAGGGCTATCCTCAGAGGTCTCAGGCCTGACTGATAGTCTGTAAAATGACTAACACACACGCATGCACGCACGCGTGCGAAACCAGCATGCTGGGGGAACTGTCTGTAGGTTCACCATATGCTGCTTTTCCTGGAAGTTGTGCTCCTGAATTTGAATGTTCACTTTGAGAAAAGTCTAATTCCACACTTAAGAAGGCGCCTCAGCAGGTAAGGGCATTTATTCCTCTTGCAGACGACTCAGGGTGGAGTCCCAGCACTCATGCGGTGCCTCTGTAAGGCCAGTTTCACAGGCTCTAATGCTCTCCTCTTACCTCCTCAGGCACCCACATGGTTTACATACATAAGTGTAGGCAAAACACTCATATACATAAAATAAAAATAGAAATCTAAACAAGTATTTTTCAAAAGAATTAAATAGACTAGCCGTGTTGGGATCAGAAGACAAAGCAATATTTACCTGTTGGCTTTCAGGCCCCTCCCCTCCTCTGTTCAACACCCAATGCTGTGTTGATCATTTCTCTATCTCTTTAAAATTATTTTTTAAATTTATTTTTTTGAGACAGGATTTCACTATGTAGCCATGGCTGGCCCATAACTCTTTTTTTTTTTTTTTTTTTTAGACTAGGCTGGCCTTGAACTCATAGAGACCCTCCTGCCCTTTCTCTCTCTGGAGTGTTGAGATTAAAGCAGTGAGTGAGATGGCTCACCATACCCAGCCCTAAAATGAGTTTTTAAAGTTTGATGAGTTGCCTAAACAAGACATAGCTTTTGTTGTTTCTGAACTTTGCTGACAGAGTGCCATGAAAAGTGTTCTTCCTCACCCAATGCTTCATGGGTAGGAGAAGTCCACATTGCTGTGGGACTCTGAGGGTCACCACTCTCGCTGCTGTTTAATGCCCCATAGTTGCTGGCATCATATTTTATCCTTTCTCATTTGTGAGCACTTGTGTTGGTTCCAGATTTTTCTGCATGTGTGTAACTACAAAAGCTGCTGCTGTCGGGGTTCTCCGCATATCCTGGTGTCGATAAGTGAGTTTCTTACGTTTACTGGGAAATGGGATTGTTCAGACGCAGGCTGCCCCTTAACAGGCACATTGCCAGATCGTTTCCAAGTGCTTCTGGCAACTTACATAGAGTCCCTCCAGCAACCAACAAAGCAGTTTGTGGTCCACGTTCTCACCGATAGACTTCCAGACTTCTGATAGATGCAGATAGCTGTTGGATGTGCACACTTGCATTTTCCTGATTACTGTGAAGTAAAATGCCCAATTTCACACTCGCTGGCCTCATACGGCTCTTCTTCCATAAGGTGTGTACCTGCTTTGTCTGTTTCTCTGTTGGACTTATTCTTTTCATTCTCATTCATTGGTGTTCTCATAGTAGTCTTGATATTAGTGTCTCCTCTCTCTCTCTCTCTCTCTCTCTCTCTCTCTCTCTCTCTCTCTCTC